GGTGAGGCCCTCAACCCTAAACCCTAACCCCCTAAACCCTAAACCTTGAGGCGATTGCAACAAAAGGGTGGGGGCCGGAGCCTGCAAAGGACTTGGGGCTTGGGTTTTCTCTGCATAAGGTGCAAAGATTAGGGTTCAGGCCCTTGGGGGCATGCGGTTTAGGGTTGAATTAGGGTTTAGGGTAGAGGGATTTAGGGGCTAGGGTTTAGGGATTCAGGGTTTAGGGTTTAAGCCTTCCAGAGCACATCACAGTGCCTCTCGGCTTTGCAGCTGATCCAACTGTTGACGACTTGTAGAAGAGAGATCACGCAGTGAGATTCTTAAAGAGTCATGGTAGGGACAATAGGTTCGGTCTGGCCGCCTCGTGGTATCGTGGTAGTCCTGTACGTGGGGGGGGGGCCTAGAACAGACTACAATAAGATATAGTCCTCACTACTAGGCCCCCCGCAACAACGACCCCTAATTTCGGGAAAGAACCGAGGTTCGCAAAGGGATTTCACGGGGTTTAGGGTTTAGGGTTTGTGTTATGGTGGGGCTGGGGAAAGCTAAGAGATCAGCAGTTGAACGCCGGCTGCAACGGCTTCGAGGGCCTAGGCGGGGGGGCTGGATGGAGAAGAGCCCCTAATCCCTATGGCTTGGTTCTAACTTAGGGCCTAAGTTATAACCAAGTCATACCCTATATTTTGGTTAACATTATATGAAACACGAATGTTTAGTAGTGCACCTGCAGAGTCACAGGGCATAAAGTGAGCATGTAGGGATGCCGCATGTAGAGTTTGGGTTGATCAGCGCTCTGCCCTACAGAAGTATGCTACAAGTTTGTGCACTCTTTGGGGCTTTCGTACTTTCCACGCCCACTACAAACCCCTGTAGGCTATCCTGTAGTCTCCTTCGGACTTGTGTGTAATTTGTATTATAGTATAACCCTGAGCAATTATTAAACACATCTTTATTATAGGTCTAAGGAGACTAGAGTATCATCCTTTTGGAACAGCAAAAAGGGGGCCCTAACATGCCGGAGAGACTCGTCCCTGGAAGGCCCAAGGCGCAGTGCTAGACATAAGGAAGTCCTTCGTGCATCTTTAGCACCGGGTAGCATGGCTATCGTCCCCCTTAAGTAGATAGAATTAGAAGATTGAAATACCCAAAGGTGTAAACAGAAACCCATATTTCCCATATTCTATCTAGTTAAGGTGGACGGAATAAGGAATGGATCCCTATCGTAGCCCGTACATAACCAGCAGAAGATAACCAGAAACGAGTGCTTGAGCATATGGCGGAACATATGAACCAAGTCTAAACTCCTAGTACCCCTATATAGTCCCCTATACAGTCCCTTTTGCGGAGTTCAGACCCTAAACCCTAACCCTATATAATCCACATAAAGACTAGAAACAGGTTACGTTGGGTTTCTCATAGGAAGAGGAAGGCATTGGGTGCACGGGAGGCCTGCAAGGACAGCAAGCTTCAAGGCCCATATGAGCTATATGGGGTTTAGGGTTTAGGGTCTAAACTCCTTAAAGGTGGGTTATGTAGGGGACTCTTTAGGGTTTAGGGTTTGGGGTCTAGGCTTTAGGGTTTAGGGTCTGAACTCCATACAGTGGGTTTTCTACGGGATTCTGTTGGGGACTATGAAATTGGTTATGAAGGGGAATACTTGGAGTTTAGACTATGGCCTGTATGGTGGTTGATCACAAGTCCTGCTCCCCAAACGACTATCATGAACATAGTTTCCTCTGTAATTTCCGCACAAGCCTACACTCCCAAAACGACTGTCATGAACATAGTTTCCCTATAATTTCCATACAAACCTCCACGAAGCCTGAAAAAATCCTCAAAGGACCAACTCAAAACCCCAAGCCCCTATTAATAGCAAGTTCCATAAAAGCTCAAAATACTATAGTGCATAATGTTATGGGGAACCCCAAAAAGGGGACCCCCATTTGATGAAACTTCCCCCCCAACCCCAAACCTTCGCTTTTAGAGGGATCCCCAACCCAGAGAGAGCCCTGGTAGAAAGTAGATCCCTGTACGGGTTCCCTGAAACGACCCCACAGTAAGTAGGACAGGGTACCATAATGGGGGTTCTACTTTCCAGACCTTCTCGGGGGTATGGGAATACTGTGCGCCATACTTGCAAAAAACCCGGGCCAAGCTCAGGTCTGGACAGTATCCTTTCCATGGGAAGACAAAGGCCAGCATTATTGGTTTTAGGCTTTAGTGTTCAGTGTATGGGGTGGGGGGCAGTAGCCGCCCAGTGACAGTCTTGAGCAGGAGCAATATTAAGAGCAATATATAGTTGCATTATACCTATTATCCAATTGTTACTGAGTGGGAGCAGTACAGGCATGTAAAACATTAACTTATTTCTGGTACAAATACATTTCCAGTCCTAGTACTCTTGTTGTTACTATGACTGCGAATCTTGCAACCGTCGTGGGATCCTGTACTACACCCCGCCTTACTCCCCCTCCCCCGCATAAGGCCTAAACAAGCCCTACTTGGGCTTTACTTGGGGTTTATTCTGCAGAGGGGGAGAAGGGGGAACCCTAAACCCTGAACGCTAGTATAGGTAGTATAGGATCCCATAATATTGCGTGCCCCAGACATCTTCGCTCTTCAGGCCTAGTTTGTAGGTTCAATGTTTAGGATAAGGGTTGTTTCTCTTATGTGCTTACCTACAGCCGCAAGTATGCAGAATATTGGCCTCTTGGCTATGTTTAGCGTTTCGGGGCTATTATTCTACTTACATTTACAAAACCAGGCACATAGCCAGGGTATGAGGCAAATGGTTTGCGATAAATGTCTTCTTGGGTTATAATTTGTAAGGAGCCGTTATCATCATAACTAACCACTTAGCGAATTCCAAGTTCATCTTGGTACCCCCAGTATTTGATAATACTCGTTATTGTTTGCAATTCCAACAGGGGCCCCTAATTTGCGCAGACCCCCTTAGTGCGTTGTGCAAGCGGTCATGCTAGCATCACTGAACCTCCTTGTTTCGACTGGCTGCTAATTACCTTGCTTGTCTTGGAGAAGCTCAAGGAATTGCAGCTGCTTCCTTGGAAGTTGGAATAGATCTCCCCATGATGATACCCATGTCCACTCCTCCCCTACCTCCTGAGCACCATAAGATGCAGGATGAGCTTCTGCACAAGATTCGGAAGGAGCCTGTGAGCTTCAAAAGCGCGAGATGGAAGAAGATCTCCAAAGAGGGCAGCCCCGCAGAAAACCTTTGAGATGTTCAGCAGACAAATATTTTCTACAGAATCCATATAGGTTCAGAGGTCCCAAGCGGGCCTTTTTTTGCAATACGCTCCTTTGCTTTAGGCCCCACACTTCTTGGGTTTTTGGGCAAAAGTTCATGATGTTGCGCTTGGCATTTCTGCTGACTATCTTGGTGACCAGAAAAGTATTGCAGCAGAAGGCGTGTGGAACAAAGAGGGGTGGGCTTTACAGTGCAAATGTTTGGCTTATGTTTGTGGCTCCTTTTTGGGCGTCCTCTCTCTTGCAAGGAGCAAATTTCTGGCGACGCTTAGGGGACCCCATAATCAGTAAATGATAATCAAGCATACAAGCTAATTGATCAGCCGTATCAGAGAGGACTGACTCACCAGGGAAAAGATTTATCAAAGATGCTGGAGTCACACCCTCCTGTCGAGCCGACGTTGTCTCTGTGGCCTAGTCATGAGGGGCGCCTTCCGCATGAATTTTTGGGCTCAGCACTTGTTTAGAAAGGGGCAGCAAACCTCCACATGTGTCCCGATACAAGAAGAGGTTCATCACTATGGCAAAGACCACTAACCATGGCACCATCTAGTGCCATTTCTCTTGCTGTTGCTTCTGTTTGCTTTTGTGTTAAGTACGTCCGTGGTGGTGGTACAGCTCAAGAATTTTGGGATGCCCAAGTGGGCCGAGGTTCAAACAGTATGTTCAGAGCACTGGCTCGACCTCTACCCCAAGTGGCTGAGTGGAGCTTGTCAATCTAAAAGTTTGGGGCTGGAGAAGTTTTGAGCCAAAATACCCCTAAACCCTGGACCCTGCACGAGGGATCTCATTACCGGCTCTTGGTGGTGTAGGCGGAGCTCTGCCGGAAGATCTGCCAATGAAGTTTCCCCCAAGAGCAATGACGCCAGTTCGGCACCCTAAGCCCTATACAGTCCTTCTTAGCTCCTTCAACCCTCGGACCCTAAACCCTAAACCCTTATTATCCCTCATGTCAGGTGGAACGTCCACCTCAAGTCCCTAAACTTCCTGAACTCTAGGGTCCAAGGGCTCAAGTAAGAGGGTGTTGGGTCCCAAATACCATAATCTGAATGGTCATAAGGGCCTAAAGCTATAACAAGGAGTATAGTCCCCCTTAAGTAGATAGAATATGGCTTTAGGTAGATTTTAATAAGATCCCCCGTATACCCCATATTCTATCTACTTAAGGGGGACTATAAGTCCTTGGACCCTTAAAGGTGGTAACTTTGGAGCCCCCTCAATTCTCTAAACCTCCTGAACTTCCCAAAGTGTTTAGGGTTTAGGCTTTAAAGACCGCGCTCCCTGAAATCCACAGCCCAGGTAAGTCCATCTTGGTGGAATTACTGCGCAAGAAGCCTGAGCAACTTGCTCTGCAACCCTAGGTGAACATATGGTGCTTTATGGTATGGGGTTTATGTTTCAGGAAGGTACGCTTCAGGCTTAAGGAGTACAATGCGGTTTTTGGGATTACTTCTTGGGGAGTCATGAGGGGTAGAATACAGTGAGGTTCAGAGTCTAGAAGGGTTTCACCCCATGGCATGGAAATCCCAACGTTCCTGCATGCAAGGCTGCACATCTCCAAGCTCCATCAGGATTCTAGATTAACTTATTGGTTGTTAGTAGGAATCCCTATTTATTCCTTACATAGTAAGTTGCCTTTTTCTCTGCTAAGAACCAGGACGTTAAGGGCCTAAGGGATGTCGGGATTCATTTTGCAATTCCTTCATGTGTTATGGACGCCCAAGAGGTAACTGAAACTACTTGGGTAGATTTCAAGGCACATTCAGGTTTTTGAGCAGGCTGGACCTCTACCCCCTCAAACTCATTGCCAAATGCTGGCGGAATAATACACCCATTCCCAATGGAAGCTTAAGCCTCAAGCCAGAGTTTTCTGGCCGGGCTATCGTCTACTGAGGAACAGATGCTCCGTTGCAGATGCCCTTCGACATGAGTGGCTCAAAGTCCAGGCCAGATTGGGTTTATCATTCAGTGTGTCCATACCATAGGGAGTTTAGGGTTTAGGGTTTTTGGTCGGATCTGCTTAGCAGTTGCTGGCCTTCCGCCTGGCAGCAAGGAGTACCAGATGCAAAAGGGTTCCATACCATAGGGGGTTGTGCATGCTTCTTCTTGTTAGAACCCTTGTAGAGATCCAACAACCCACGTGACGCCCACCCTACACCCTAAACCCTAACGCTTCAGCCAGGTACAATTGCCCAGCGCGCCCATCATGCAAGGCATTGTCGACACCATGATCCAGCTCCTAGACTTTGACTGTCGGCCTGCGGGCATTGAACCAGAAATGGGATTTCCAGATATGGCGGGTCTTCCCCATATACCCCAGAGCGCAATGGCCCTTGTGCCAGGCATTCTGAAAAGGCATCGTAGTTTGTCAGGCTCCAACAGCTTTTCTAAGCATACCAGAAAATCCACGACCTACCTTCGAGATTGCCCAAATGGTAGTTTGCCAAAATAGGGGGACCCCAATATAGACCCCAAATACTATAATCCTTATTATTGGGACCCCCAAAATGGTACCTCTAATTTTAGGAAATCTTCAAATTCCCAAGACCCTTAAGTCATTTGGGCTGCTGTGATTATCGTCTTGGCTGCCCCTCATGGGGGATACCAGCATCCTGTAACACCTTAAACCAAACTTCCTAAATCTCAAGGTGTAAAATATACCAAACTCCCATAAGTTGCAGGGAGGTGCCCTGGATCATGGAGTTTTATCACTATCAACAGTACCCTTAGACCCTAAACCCCAAACTCTAAACCCCAAACCCTACACCCTCCTGAGTCCTTTTTTTTCAAAAAAAAAGAAGAGCAATTCTTGCGTATCTAGTTGTGCCACAAGCTGCTGGTCACCGTCAGAAGCGTCTGGAAGTAGGCATCTGTCACCCTGGACCAGGCCACAGACCCCAGAAGTTGGCGGTTTAGGGCCTAGGGTTTTAGTGGTTTAGGGGTTCAGGGTTTAGGTTTTAGTGGTTTAGGGTTTAGGATTTAGGGTTTAGGGTTCAGGGTTTAGGGTTTCCTCCAAAATCTATACTACAACTTCTGTTGTAGGTCCTCGTACCCATGCCGCAAGTACCCCATCAGTGAGTACTTGGACATTGGGAAGTACTTGATCCAGTAAGCACATCGGGAAGCTCCTCCAATCTCGAAGTTGGTGTAGGCGACTGTCAATGGCTACCAAGGGAGTCTCAAAGGCAGACGGAGATTCCTTCGGGTTACTTATGGTAGTTTCATGTTGCAACAAAATTGTTTCCTGTTAAAGATGCAGCAGCTGAGTACATTTCCAGCATTGCCCATTTGATGGTTTTCACCAGGTGTCATAAGCTGGCGATGCAGGAGCCAGGTCCAGAAAGTGCTGCGCATGGAGTTTGATTTCCGAGGAACCCTCCTATCAACGAACGCAATCTGCTTTTGGACACCTTCATGCAATTAGTCGTGCGAAGCTGTGTGTGCAATATTCATACCAAACATAAAGACCCCACATAAACTCGCAGTCCCTTGTCCAACCCTTTGGAAGAGTTGCATGTGTTTTAGATGTGCGTGACCTCTACCACTCAGGGCAGCAAATTTTGTCCTACAGCTGACAGGTTCTTAGTAGGGAATAAGGGAATGTACCATATAGGGATTCCTTAGGGTATTCCCTTATTCTCTAGTAGTGAGACAAGCGGACACCACAACCATAACCACGCAAGTACGAAGCCTCAGGTCTGAAGCCTAGACATTTTTAGCCTAGGTCCTAGGGTTTAGGGTTTAGGGTAGGTCCTTTCTACAGAGCGTGTTCCCGACAGAGGGTCCAGTGCTCAAATAAGGTTACAGGTCCCAAGTGCATATAACATGCATGGTTTCAGGCACCTAAAGCCATCTATGAGCTTTGCACAGGATCATGTGGGTGCATGTGCGGAAACTTGCACCGACGGCATACAAAAGGAAAGCGCCCCTGTAGCTTCAAAGTGCCCGTTGAAGCTCCGTGAGAGGCTCTTTTCGTGGGATGCATCATTTCCTGCATCCAGCTACCTTATAGGCACTAAATGTAGCCCTAGCACCCCAAGCCGTTAGCTACGCAGCAGGGCAGGACATGTCCATAAGCAATGAACACTATCAAGAACACGTGAACCTTAACCGCAGACCAGGCAGAGCTTGAGTGTAGGCTAACAACAGGTTTTACCGCAGGGTCCTAATGTACATGCCTATTGGGCTCTAAATCCTATGGGCCCCAAACCCCAAACCCGGAACTCCTAAGTCCTAAACCCTAAGCTCGAAATCCTAGGCCCAAAACCCTAAACCCTGAGTCCTAAGTCCTAAACCCCAAGCTCGAAATCCTAGGCCCTAAACCCTAGACCCTAATTTAAGGAGCAACTTTGTCAGGTTTCAGTCGCTGAACCTAATGCAGAAAGCCGCCCTAACTGCCCTTGCATGGCGTGCCTCCGATGAGGACTGCAGGGATTTTGGTTTTGGGTTTTGGGTATACCCAGGGATGCGTCTGCAGTTTCTTTTTGGGTCTGGTTTTTCGTAAGGGATTATATAGTATTGCCTGCACCCGCCTAAACCCTAAAACTAGATAGGAGGGTAAACCCTAAAACTACATAGGAGGGTCTGGATATACATGGGGCCTTGCCTTTGTAGCCCCAAGGCTGCGAGTACATATAGATGAGCCATACAAGGGGTTATGTAGGGGACAATTATAGGGGTTATGAAGGGGATTCTATAGGAGTTTAGATGATGGATCATATGGTATATACTGGATCATTTTGGGGTCTAGAACGGCCTAGATATATGCTGTCCAGTCACGTGGACTCAGTGGGCATGGCACCTGTTAACCAAGATCCTCGAACATAATCTGAGATTCCAGACCTCGCAGACAACTAAGGTCATTTGCTGCCAATCCCAGCTTTTGTAGAACCTTAAACCCTTAACCCTGAACTGCCTTAAGGTCATTTTCCAAGATGCCATTTCTTCCGATTTCTGGACTTGTCTCACTGCTTCTTAGCCGGGAATCTCATATAGGGATTTTTTAGGAGCAAGTCACGTGTTCATTGCTCTGCGAGGAGCGGGTAGGGCCTGCTAGGGGACAGCCCTGGCATGAGGGCTTCGGGTTTAGGGTTCGGATTGGGGTGTATAGTCCCCCTTAAGTAGATAGAGCATTGTTTAGATGATAAGATCACCATATACCCCACCATATTCTATCTACTTAAGGGGGACTATGAGGTTTAAGGCTTATTGCAAGCCTGGAATGGCAAGCAAGGGATAGTCAGTGTAGGGGCCTAAATTGCCCAAAATGCTGGTGGAAAACCGTGCGACCCAAAGTCGGACTGAAAGTTGATCACAACAACGGGGTTGAGGGTTCAGGGTTTAGGGCGGTTTAGGGTTTAGGGTTTAGGGGGTTTAGGGTCAGTTGTATCCGTTTCATAGCTAGTACAATGAAATCACCAAGATAGGATTTTAGGTTGGATTCTTAGGAGGGACCCTCCGAGTGGGAGAGCCCATAGAAGGGACCATCGTATGGGTGACATATGGGGGTTTCCAAAAATTGGGGGTANNGGGGTCTATATTGGGGTACCCGAATCTAGGGAGACTACCATATTGACATCACAAGAGCTCTATGCTTGTTATCGATTTCTATTCCTTGGAAAACAGAATCAAGCCTGTGGCGGAAATCCTTCAAAATCCCGGCAGTACTGGATATCAGCGCCCCTATCAACCTTCACCATCGACTCATACAGGGCCACGCGGCAAGATGAGCCAAGGAGCAACTGAGTAATCCTTCAGATCCTCCAGCATTCAGTACCCAAAGGATTACATACACACAAGGATCCTCTCAAATGAGCAGCAAGATGGGCATGACATTGAAAACGGTGGTTATACACACTGGTTGAAGGCTAAGGGCTTGGTAGCGAAAGCCCAAGGTACAACTGGGTGATATCCTACAGTCACTGCTATCTACTCTTATGGATATATGGGTGGCTGTCAAAATT